GAATAAGTCTGCAGGCAGGGAATTCCAATCCATAGCAGTTCGCCATATAAATGCTTCGTGCAAATCTTTGGAATATCCACAACATAGGGGTGGAAGCCAAGCCTACGCCTAGTCCCCCGATGATGGAAAAGGGAAGGCGGAATTAAATCATGTATTCCATCGTACACTCTCCGTGATATATCCTGCAAAATACCGGTAAGCAGGCAACTTTACGGCGGTGTTCAAGGCTCTGCAGCTTAGCCTCTACTAATTCCGAGTCACCTATAAGCCTCTTGGCACGCTTGTCAATTGAATCCAAGGTGGCCAGTTGATATGTAGCAGAGCCATCCCAAAGGTGGCAACAGTACTCCTTATACGACCGATCTTGTGCTTGATACAGCGGAAGCAACTGTCCCGGTGTGAAGTAACGCCTCACCCTGGAAAGGATGCCAAGCTTCCTGGCTGCATTTTTGGCCATGGATTCAATGTATCCGCCGAAGTTCAGATTGGACGGCATGTCCATTCCAAGTAGCTGGAGATGGTCGTCTATCGGTATGGATATATCACGAAAAGTCGGAGTCAGCTCAAAGGGACTCCGTTTAGTGGAGAATAGACACGTCTGCGTTTTAGTAGCGTTAAATTTGACAAGATTTTCATCGCCCCAATCGGAGACTGCCTTGAACGTCAAATCTAAACGGGTAACCATGGACTTTCGACAAGACTGGATTTCCTCTCCACTGACCTTTGCAATGGTCAAGTACCTATCTACAACTGTGCTGTCATCAGCATACGCAAAGGTACCTGGAATTAACATAACATTGATATGCAGCAGAAAGAGAGTTGCAGACCTCGGATATTAGTGAGGTGCACTTTTAGTGTTAGGACGTACAACCGCTGTGTAAACTTATTACCGTTTTTTTTTTTTTCATTTTATTGTTTTAGGGAAGTGAATAGGAGGAAGGCAGTTGAACGAGGCACTGCGTCGTTTTCAACCAAGCAGCAAAGCTCACACTGCCACACGAGGGTACAATCGGTTCGAAGACCGCGGGGACGCCCGAACTCCCCCGGAGATGGCCACCTAGTCCTTCCCTCCAGTCGCTAACCGGCAAGGTGGAGCATTCCGGGATTTTTCGTTGGGTGGCGGGGCAGCCTTTCCCGGGTGGCTTTCCCGCTACTTGGGCCCCCAAATTCCCACGGTCGGCTAGCAGGGTACCGTGCTTCGAATCCCGCTAGCCTCCAGGACCGAGTGTTCAGTGTGGCAGTACAAGCAGCTACAATTCGTCGTCAGACGCAATGCAACTGTTCAGACCCTACCTCCCAATGGCAACTCCCAAACACAAGTCGGAACACGGTAACAACCATTTGGCGACTCGACTACGTCGGGAGGGTGGTGACCATCCAGGGGTCACTTGTAGGGTTTCGAGGGTAAACCTATGGAAGCGAGCAACATCAACCCTGGACATAAGTTGACAAGTCCCATGTGCCTGTAATTTCACCAGCACCCTTACTCTTCAAAACCGGAACACAGTAACTGACATTACTGCTTGGTAGCAGAAATAGGTATGGTGGCAGTACTTCCCTGGACAAACTCTTTCACAAGGAACTCTACTGAAGTATTGCGGTGAGAACAATCGTTCTCTCATCTAGGCTGTAACTGTTTTATGATTATTAATATTGCTAATACAATTATATACGATATAAACAATATTACACATCGGTGTGACATACGGCCTCTAGTATAAATTTAACATCCCTATCTTCACTCAAATGTCCTAAGCTTCCAGTGCTCTCAAATGCTCTTGTTAAAAAAATAACCCATCTTTTTATTAAGTGTTACGCTTCTATGTAAGTGTGAAATATAGGCAACGATTGTTAAAATTCACGTTATTATAAATCATGTGAGGGTAACTTTTTAACATCCTGGCTAAAAAGGGTTATGTCATATATATACGTTGGATTAAGGTCACGCGGTTAAATGTATAACAAAATATTATATTAATAATAATGTTTCAAAATGGTGGCATTGCATGGCGATGTCGTGATCACGGAAGGCCGCAGTTAAGGTTCTGGGTTCAATTCCGGGTAGTACGTTTTTAATAATAAAATTTTCTCAAAATTCTTATTTAATTTTCATGGAAGTGCCAGTGTTAATTTCTTTACTCCAGTATGGAATGTAGATGGAGTTTTCTAGTTTCAGAATTTTTTTTATTAATAACTAATGTGAGAGAATGGTAACCCTGTAAGAAAAAAGGATAAAATTTAAAAATAAGTGAAATTGTAATGAATTAACGACCGCTAACGCTAACTAATAGAACTAATGTTGCTGCATCAGCAATAGCAGCAGGTACTGAACGAAGATGAGGTTTTAGTCCGTACAATACACATCCAAGAAAAACCGAGCATAGATTTGATTTCTTTTAAATTGGGAAGGTACACCGTGAGATTTTTTCTAAAATCAAGGGACGGAACGAACAAGCCGTGCGCCCGATGAAAAATATCATAATTTCAAGATCACGCGAATCTGTGCGTCTGTACACGGCCCTTAGCGTGCACACGTACAAACCGCACTGCTACGTTTGTACGGAGTTACCATTCTTGGTTAATTATACTCTGCTAACCCACTAAAAAAGACCCGCCCAAGAGTTGTTTTGGTAGCAGAAGAGCACCTTGTGAAAGAGTTCGTCCGGGGAAGTACTGCCACATTTCCTATTTCCGCTGCCAAGTTGTAATGTAAGTATTACTGTGTTCCAGTGCTGGTGACAATACAAGCGCACGGGACTTGTCATGTTATGTTTTATTTATTTCAGTTTTAATGGAAAATTCAAAATGTCGAAAACAATTCCACGCTTAATGAAAACATAATTAATTTATGTGGCGTAATACGATGACATTGGAGCTAGACATCGATCTATATTACGAGCTGTCGGCATATTGCGAGTATGACACTTAATTATAATAATAAATCTTAATTATCTCTACAAAGGTGTTCATTAACATATAATGAACATTATACTGAATTATTTGTACCAACCTCGTAGGACTATATAGTCCTACGATATAGTCCTAGTAATATTGACTAATAAGTGACGAAATTAACAAGTCGTGCGCCTGATGGTAAGCGACACGCTTATCCATAGCAATTGCAGTGCCACTCAGAGCTTTAAATCGCAATCGCAAATTTGACATTCCACGTGCTCGTAATTTCACAGCACTCTTACCCTTTAAAACCGGAATAGAGTCATGCTGACATTACTGCTTGGCGGCAGAAATAAATCAGGTGGTAGTACTTCCCTGCACGATTTCTTTCATAAGGAACTCTACACTTCGCCATGTCAGATCACGATACATGGAACAAAAGATGTTGTTCATGATGATAGCTTGCGAAGGTGTTAGTATTTTACAAATGGCACTCTATAAAAGTGGTATTAGGATTTAGTACAGATAATAAAAGGTTTGCAGAAACCATTACCTGAAATTGATCCCATAATTTAGGTCCTCTGCTCTCTATTCCTGAAAGAACAGAAATTTCAGGCCATGTATATTTTACGGTTTAAATTTGAAAATAAAGAATAAAGTTGTTATGTAAATCATGTAACTATAAAGAATATGAATGTGTGGCTACATAATAATAATAATAACGCACACACTGAACATACATTACAACATTACATTACATCATAAAACATTGCGTGCACATGGTATGTTAGTGTGATAAGTACTTTTTTATATAACATCAGGCGACGGGACGAACAAGTCGTGCACCTGATGGTAAGTTACACGCCTGTCCATAACAGTTACAGTGCCACTCAGAGATTTAAATCGCAAAGTTCTAAAGGGCACTGCCACTGCGCCCGCATCACCCAGCACCTTTACCCTTCAAAATCGAAACGCAATAATGCTGTCATTAATGCTTGGAGGCAGAAATAGATAAGTTGGCAGTACTTCCCTGGAAAAACTCTTTCATATGGAGATCTACTGCTACTGAAGCATTACCAGTTTTAAAAGATAAGGGTTACTGACTGACTGAGTGTAACGACCCCTGGAAAACATGTAAAAATATCCAAAACCCATTGGACTTGCATGGTAAAAACCTTCTGCTTACAGGAAAGAAATACTCAACAATGAAACGAATAACCAACAATATATTAATAATTTACTTTATTTCGGACAAATATCCATATTGTCTTAAATAAGTTATGCGTGTAAACTACATTAGTAAAACGCACAAACAGTACAAACCTCGAAGTACCAAAGAACAGTTCTAAACGTCGAGTATATAACCAGAAATACAGAAAACTATTCTGCCATATCATTATTGTGACAACTGTGCCGATTGGCCGGCCCGAATTCAAAACAATTGACGGGTGTCGTCAATTGTTTTACTTCAAATCGACCAGTTAACTTCAGCTTTGCTATTATGGACAAAAATTGCAAACTTACATTATTTAGTATTTAATTACCGATGAAATTTGATTTCGTTTGTTTTGTAATTAGATGTTCGCTGTTTTTCCCGACACCACCGAACGGAACAGCCCTCATAATTAGAGATATTATCTTTAATGCAATAAATACAGAATATTTTTGGAATTTAAGGAGACGTACACACAGGTCAGTTGTTGGCGCTGTACTATTTCAGCTTTCTAATATGTAGTTTCAGTGCAAACGAGAGTTGATATTTACAAGCGGTGTATCACTGCTGTTACCAGGTTAGTTACCAAGAATTTATGGCCCTTATTTCATCTCTATTTATATACTCGATCGTTTTAAATCACTTGACGTGTACATCTACCCACTGACACAGTTTTGGCGCATCCTTTCTCTTAGCCACCACAAGAACGTCATTTATATTATATGACATACTCTGGAGAAAGTTGAGGGACAGGGGTGTACCGCCGGACTTGTTAAACGTTTTCCGTTACTGGTACGGACACCAAAGTAACGTCATTAAGTGGGGTAATACCCTCTCTGACGTATATGGGTTGGAGTGCGGGGCGAATGATATCATTATTGAGCTCAACAGTATGCGTGTCGGCTGCCGCGTGGATGGTGTTTGTGTCAACAACATCAGCTACGCCGACGACATGGTGCTGCTGGGCCCGACGGCAAGATCTGTCGAAGAAATGCTGAAGGTCTGTGCTGACTACGCTGCTTCTCATGGTCTTCGCTACAATATTAAGAAGTGTGAATACATTGTCTTTAAGGCCGCCGGTAATAACCTTAAACAATTCCCAGAGATAACCCTAAATGGCATGAACATTAAAAAACTAACTTCTTTTAAATACCTTGGTCATTATGTCACCGACGTCCTTAAAGACAATGCCGACATTGAAAGAGAGCGTAGGGCTCTAGCGGTAAGAGGTAATATGTTGATCCGTAGGTTTTCCCGGTGGACAGAGGAAGTAAAAATAACGCTTTTTAAAGCATATTGTCAAAATTTCTACACCGGGAGCCTATGGGTCAATTACACCAAACGGCCGCTGGAGACCCTACGTGTACAATATAATAATATTTTTAGGATGATGTTGGGGCTGCCTCGTTTTTGCAGTGCGTCGGGGATGTTTACAGAATATGAGACGGATGGTTTTGCTGCCATCCTCCGAAAAAAGACAGCATCCCTGATGCGCAGTGTGCGGGACCTCCCCCATGTGGCAATGCTTCGTAAGGAGGGTGATTTAACCAATTGATGATGTACAAATATTTACTAACACTAGTTTATAAGCTCTTTTTCTATTATTATTATTACTAACAAAACATGGAACTTGTTGTCTGAAATAAAAGTATTTTTTTTTTTATTTATTTCACGAACGCGCAAGCGTGATACGCTTTCTGTGTGTACTTGACCCACAAACTGTACAGCTGTACATATGTATGAATAATAAGGTGATTATGAAGGATGAATCATATTTCATGGAGGACTTTTGGCCGAAGGGTGTCATGTTCCGGCGTTTCCGAGGACGGCTATGGGACAACCACGTTGCGTCACACGTCGCGGTGCATACGTGTAAATATTTTTTTTATCATATTATTACGTGATCTGCGCTCCAAAACACGGATCGTGGATGTAGGCCAACAAGCCGGTGTACTAAAAGGGGACTGGGCGGGTCACGTCTGCCGCATGCCAGACGAGTCGTGGGCGAAGGCCACCACGGAATGGATCCCCAATAATCTCAGTACAGAGTACTAAAACACCGACCTCAAAAGTACGTGGAATTACGTCTATTTGCTAAGTTTTATTGAAATGTCCCCTGGTTCGTCACTATACAGGACTTGACACTGGAGATAATAAAAATCGCTTCTCACTACTCAAAGTATATTGAGAGAAAAACGCCTAGAATTGGAGAAATAGCAAAATCAACCATTAAAGTAATTGCTACTAAATTAAAGTTAGGCGCTATTTATAAAAATGAATTTTCATGCGTGAACAGCCACCCTTCGAGGTGGATGATTTTCTTCAAAATGAAATGGGACCACTATGAAAGTACCCCCTTTCCAACAAAACAATAATCATGAAAATCGGTTGACAAATACCGGAGTTATCGCGTAACATACATACAAAAAAATGAACATACAGTCGAATTGAGAACCTCCTCCTTTTTTGAAGTCAGTTAAAAATAGAAAACGACCATGCGGCAGGCCAAAGCGGCGATGGAGAGACGAGCTAGACGCGCACCTAAAGGACTGGTCCTCGGTGGCGCAAAACAGAGCGGTGTGGAGAGAGGGGAGGGAGGCCTTTGCTCAGCAGTGGAACAGTATAGGCATCATAATAATAATAATTACAATAATATGTATGTTAGTCTGTAAGGTACGTATTTTGTGGGTCCTTTGTAACCTGGTAATTAATAAAAAAAACAAATAAAATTGTGTTACGTTTGATGTTAGTACAGGGAATTCTCCACATAGAGCCGCAGCTACTGGTTTCTTGTCTGGCACATTGTTATGAAACAACAATGAAGTTCAGAGAGTTAAGATTAAACTTTACATTTTTTTCAGCACGTGTAGTACCTGCTAAGGAAACAACAGGTTAAAAGAACGGAGGGAAGCCAGGGGTCGGAGGCTTATGTGGTAATAAATTATGACGATACCGTCAAAGGTACTTAGTTCGATGAAAAAGTGCTGGCCCCTGGAAAGGTTTGCATTCAAAAGCCGACATTGAAGGTTTTTGGGCCTCAAAAAACTAGTTCTTTGTATTTTATTTTTTATTAAATTGAAAAGGGACCCAGGTCGGCATTCTTTATTACACCCGAGACCCTTTAAATTTGGTCAAGTCGTTCACAATCAACTGACATAATCAGCTACTCAAAAGTACAAATAACCACCGCCTTTTAGTCCATTAGCCGACCAGCCGTACAAATCAGACCAGCATTAAAAAGGTCACAACACGCGTCTAATTCTATAATTAAAGGCCTGTAGCACCGAATTTTGCTATAAAATCGCGTAACAGAATTGCTATTAACAGGCATGTCCAAGCGCACGACTTCTTCGTTTCGTCATTTGGAATCATAAAAAAAAAGTGGACGAAGATAATGGCGCAATATTAAATCCCCTAAAAATTACTTGTGGTAACTTATCGAATATGAAATAATGTACACAATCACTCCAAGTATTATGATGTAATAAGCCTCACGTTAACTTAGATAAGATAGCATGTTGAGTTTTTTATATACTCGCTAACACTGTTATCTGCATTATTACTCTTTGTGATTTGAGATTATTAAAATGAGCACTACAATATTGACATTAGAAAGTAATTTTGCATAGTTGAATTTTGAATTTCAGGTTGATGTTTTTACCATTAGTTTCGCTCAAAATCGTAAGGCATGTCCAGGTGCAAGGTGAAAATGAATAAGAAATCTAGCACGTTGAAATCAATAGCATCACCAGACGATAAATTCTATTTTCAGGACATGAACTTAAAAGTTTCTTAAAACAAATTTCAACTTTAAAAAGCGACATTGTCGTTTAGCGAAAGTTTGGTTTTCTAAGTATGATATGATTAAATAACAGTTTATGAACAAGTTAGGTACAAAAATGTGTAGTAAGTATATCGACCCCTCCTACGTAAAGTATCGTACGAGTATGTCGAAATTGTCAAGTTTACTGAGGAGCGTTTTAAAGTTCTCCGTTTTATTGGGCAAAGCTCACATAGAATAATCACCTAATAAATAGATCATCGTATATCATCTAACCGATATATAGGGTTTTATGATACTCTATATGAGTAACGTCAATCAGAGCACAGTCACTGCGCGCGTCACCCTAAAACATAAGTTGGTAAGTCACATGTGCCTGTAATTTTACCACCCTTGGCAGGAGAAATACGTCAAGTGGCAGTACTTCACTTTATTTGATAATGTATACAAACTGGCAAATTCATGACTATTCTTTATAAGTTACATTCATGAGTGTACTGCTGGATCAAGACTGAGCTACCCACCCTTACCGCAGCTCTTTTATAACTTACGTTGAGGTGGTAGTGCGAAGTTAGACGCGAATACCATTAGGAGTTCCAAAATGTATTAAAGTCAATGCAACAATTAAATAAGTAAGGCGTGAAGTTAGGTGCGAATACCATAGAGGGATCCATAGTGGTACTATAATAATCAATAGAAGAACTAAATGGGAAAAGCGTAACATTCCCTGGACTAACTCTTTCACAAGGAACTCTGCTATCTCACCAATTAAACTGTTTGACCTATATCTAAACCTAACTTTAACATTCAAACTCACTTTTTATAATTACACACTTAGGACATAAAATCATCGATATGAACTACATCTAGCCGTTATGTTTAAATCATGTTAGAGTTTAGGAATTGGAAATTGGAATGCATTTCGTCATACAAATTTAAAAACCTCGTAACACCGTTTTTGGACGAAATACCTTTTTTACTCTTCGACCGCAATGTCGGGCAATTAAAGGTTAAAATATAATTTGTAGACCCTTTTCTAGCTATAAAATAAAAGTTTAATTATAGATTGTCTTATATAATTATTTCTAGTAATTCTGTTTTTTGTGCCTACTCAAAAGTTGACATTAATGCAGGTTAAGAGGTTGACGAATTTAGTCGACGTTCTAATATGTTCATTAACTCGAAAGGAAAAGCCTACTTTCTACTTTTACGTAGAAAATTGCCTTTCTTTACATTTCCAGTAGTTACCTATTTCTGTCGTCAAGCAGTAATGTCTGCTTTACTGTGTTCAGGTTTTGAAGGGTAAGGGTGCTGGTGAAATTACAGGCACATGGGACTTGTCAACTGCGCCCGACACCCCGATACATACATGTATCGGGGTGTCGGGCGCAGTGGCCGTGCCCCTCAAATTTTTGCGATCTCAAGCTCTGGGTAGCACTGCAACTGTTATGGACAGGCATGCAGCTTACAATCTGGCGCATGACTACGTCCCGTCACTTGATATTTAAAAAAAAGTTTCCTTCTAGTATTTTATTTCCATATTATTTATATACGTATAAGTAACAATTTCCATCATAATTCATGCTATTGCGATAAAATTTTTATGAGTTGTTGTACCTACGTACCTAGTTGTGCATAAATTTCTAAAGTACCTTTTTAAAATATTCGGTGAGCTACTTAGTTGTTTCAACAAGCCAAAAAGACGATTATTTTGCGGACGGATTACTTCACTACATGATTTCCTCTTGTTCCAACAAAAGGCAAACAGTTTACCACAGACAAACTTAACCCATTTATAGACTACTATGGTACCGCACACAAAAATGTCGCTACTTTTCTTAGTGCTTATATTGATTCAATATAAAATGATCAATGTTAGGCATTGAATTTTAGTAATTATTAACAAAAAGATCGAACATTTAGAAAAAAATTCTCCAACAGGCTGAAATCGAATCAACGTCTTCCAGCAAACTGTGCTTGACGCTACGCCAACTAACTGCTTGTTACCGTAGCGCCATCTGTGAGAAGTCTATGAAAGTTTTTTTCACTCAGCCAGGTACCTTTACAGCTACCAGCAGCTGACTAGAGACGTTGTTTTAAATATGTAGTTTCTTTCTATTTTAGATTAGTTATCGTACTAACAAATTGAGTCATGTTCAATCTAATGATATTTGAATAAAAAAATCATAGTACTTACTTACATAACAATTATATGTCATAAATTACGAATATGATACATAAATTTGGGTAAGCATCTAACATTTTTATTGTTTAGTCATTACATAACACACCATTTGTTGATTGTGTGTATTTGATAGCGAACATAAAAATGTCAGTGTCTCGTGTGTGGTGTTTGCGCCTGTGACGCACTCCATGGGCTCCAACAATACCAGCACGGTGGCTGTTCTCAGCCACGGTATATGCTGAGTTATGCCCATTCAGTATCTTGATTTTAGTTTTAAATTTATTTTTGTTACTTTGTAAGTACAATTTTATGATACTGAATAAAATTTTCTTCGTTTCTTTCTTTCTTTCTTCTTTAAAAATTGTAATTTTAAAGATCTATTCTCTATGGAAAAGCAGTAAACGGTAACTACACAAAAAGCACTTGGAAACCATACTGTAAAGCCCGTAGTTGGTTTTTGAGATCCATAATATTGAAACGGGGTACCCCGTACTATCTTTTTCTGATATTAAACTTTACGATCAATGCCGTTACCATCCTTCAACTGGTTAAATACTCATGTTCTTCTTATTGCATCGAAAATAATGACCGAACTAAAAAAAGCTAACAATACATGATGTTGCCTGTACATTCTCGAAGTTGGTATATTTGTGAAACGAAATCTATCAAAGGACGTGACTGCCAGCAGCCTAAGGAACCCCAATAAAGTGATACTAGGTGCAATACCCATAAAGAAACTTTTTAAAGTAACTCGTATGTTATGTGTGGAAATTTTTTTAATCATATACCAGGTCGCTTTAAGCTTCTTCCATTGACTAGTTTTAAAAAGAAATTGCGTAGGTAACTCTTTGATCATTTGTTATTCTACTCAGTTGATGAATTCATGAACTATATATACTAATTAAATTGATGCATATGTTTTTCTTTACAATTATTATTATTTACTTTAAATTATGACATTACACGATCATGACATCTCGTATTAAATCAATTAACTTTAATTGATCAGTTTATTGTTTTTACATTTAGTCTTAATCTATCAGTGCATTATTTGATTATTGTATTTGCATGCTTTTATTTAAGAAGGCC